AACACCATCAATAAAGTTACGCACTAAAAGTTCAAGAGAAAACAAATTGTATTTAAAGGAATTTTCCCTAAATCATTACGATTAAACCTTTAATAGCATGCCAAGACATGCTCATGATCGTAATTTAACAGTTTTATTTTGGATCAAAATATTTGGAAAAAACAGCAAACGAGAGACAACTGATTACAACTCTCACAACTTTATAATTACAGTTGTTACATTTTATTGAATAGTGTTCATGTAAAACATGTAGAGGTTTAAATTATATGGAATGATTCAGCTCCAGATCTTAAATGAAATGGAACTGTAACGTGGAGGGGACGCTGACAAAGATCTAAAAGCAGGTTTATTACACAGAGATGGTCAGGCAAGCAACAGTCAACACAGGGGCAAACAGATATATGCAGGGAATCCAGAGTCATGGTCAAATAACAGGCAAACGGTCAGTCCCGGCAGCAAACCACGTAAACTATTAAAAAACAAAGCAAGAGAAGAGAAATGCGTCATAATGTTCACAGTAACAGTATAACAAGACTGAGCAGTTGGTCTATGCTGCTTTTAAAGTGCATGTAATCAGTTCATAATGATCCTCCGACTGTGTGTGTGTGTGTGTGTGTGTGTGTGTGTGTGTGTGTGTGTGTGTGTGTGTGTGTGTGTGTGTGTGTGTGTGTGTGTGCAATCAGCGGAATCTGGAACAGGAGCATGTGAGCGCACTTAGTGTGTAACCTCAATGAACAGATTTAATCTTAATAATCTAGGAAATATCTGTAAAATAAGAGTGTTTAAACATTTGAATGAAAATATCTGTAGATTTATTATTTTTTGCACTTTATTTCAACAAATAAATATTTCCGTAATTTTATGGTTTTTGCTTGGCAGCCGTAGCTGACAGTCATTTGACCTTTTTTACGATTTTTAATTTTTTTTACAGAGCAAGTGATTACAATTTATTACTTTAATTTTACAAAATTTTAAATGTACTCAAAAACGGCAATCTTATTGTATAAAACAGACAAACTGCTGTAATATGTCATTACTAATATAGTACATAATATAACAGTCAATCTGTTAATTTACAGATATTGTTTGTAATTTTTACGGATTTTTGAATATAATTTAAAATAACAGAAAAAATACTGTATGAATAATACTGTAATTTCCCTGTGTAAAAAACACAAATGTCAGTAATTTGTCTTTAAACAAGTACCTAAAATGAAAGTCAAGCTGTTAATGTAGAGAGATTGGTTGTCATTCTACTAAGTTTTGAATATAATTTGAAATGACAAAAAATTAAAGTAAAAAATTTAGAGATATTTTCTTTAAAATTAGGGGTTTGCTTTACAGTGTGGCCTCACAGCAAGAAGGTCACTGGTTGGAGTCCTGGCTGGGTCAGTTTCTGTGTGGAGTTTGCATGTTTTCCCTGTGTTGGCCTAGAATGTCTAATATCATTTACAGTCATCATGGCAAAGAGAAAATAAATCAGTTATTAGAGATGAGTTATTAACACTGTTATGATTAGAAATGTGTTAAGGAAATCTGCTAAACAGAAATTGGGGGAAAAATAAACAGGGGGCGAATAATTCTGACCTGAACTGTATCTGTGAAACGTGCAGACTGATGAAGCGCATGCGCAGACTTTACTCACTAGCTCTGTTTACAGTGTAGTTTGTGCAAATTTTTTTTTTTAACTAAAGAGTGTATCCCACTCAGTTGTGTGCATCATTT